TAACTCTCTCCCCACTTAAGCAAAAATGTAAAAAGTTGAACTATACCACATGGTGAGAAGATGGGGCAATGGGAACTCTCATCTGTTATGAAATATGTGTGACCCTATTAAAAAGTGTCTATGACCCTAGGTATATACCCTAGAGAAATTCTTGATATTAGCTCAGGTGTACATCAACAGTGGATTACATAAATAAATTGAGGTTCTTTGAGCTAATTGAATACCATACATCAATGAAAACAAAGCAAAACCACATAGAACAAGGTGGATAAATCTGAAAAACAATGAGCAAAAGTTACATGGCTCAAAAAGTACATACAGTTTTATTCTACTTATGGAGACATTAAAAAGGAAAGCTAAAATGTATATTTCTAATGAATGCATAGATATCCTTTGATGGTAATGTGAAAAGGTAAAATGGTGAAAACAAAACCTACAAAATACTTTTCACCAAAGGATACCTCTCACGTAGAGAAAAGAGATATAAAGTGGCACACAGGCAGATCCTACGATACCGGCAATATTTTGTTCCTAAACTTACTGTTTAATAAGAATGCTTGCTCAGGTATTATTCTTTAGTTTGTATATGTATTATTAAATGTTCCTCATGTATTATATAATTCACTGCACACATCCCAAATAAAATGTCAGATCATGTTATTCCTTTGGCAAAATCCTTCAATGCCTTTGATCTCACTTGGAATACAAAGTATGTTGGCTAGTGATTATTTTCCTTATTGGAGATCTATTTTCAGTTTTTCATTTTTTGCTTCCTTAAGTCTGAAAATGTCCTATACATAATAGGTTTGACTTTTAGTAGTTTCACTATGCCCTTTATTTCTGCTAGGGTAGTTTCCAATTCTGCAATTGTGTTTTATTTTTCTTGTGACCTGACTTTATCTCCTTCATCTCCTTGACTTCTTCTTTTGTAACCTTTAACCAGGTTCTTGTTACCTATTCATTTTGTCCTATTTTCTTCTTACGATTTTTTGTTCTTTTCTCACTTCTTATATTCTATGTTGAATACAAATCAGTTTTGTGACATTTTTCTTCTTTCTTCTGAATCCTACTCAGTCCTCTACTTTAGCAATAAAAACTTATGATAATCAGCCCCCCCAAAATATATAACTTTAAAAATAATAACTCTAATAGCACTAAACTGACACTTGTACTTATCTTTACCTGAACACATTTTATCTTCCAGCCACTATATTATATTAAACATATCTCATATGTTTTTTATTAATTTTAAAAATATCATTGTTATATTTTATTAAATTCACTCTAGTGATGAATAATATGAACTCTAAAAAGTTGAATAAAAACTTTCTTTAGTGTAGGGTTGGCATATACTGCTATCTGACTTTGGAGTCTCTGTACCTAAATTCTGTCCTTACTGCCACTCTGTTTAAATTATGTTTGAGGGGTGCCTGGATGGCTCAGTTGGTTAAACATCTGACTCTTGATTTTCGTTCAGGTCATGATCTCATGGTTTGTGAGTTCAAGCCTCACGTTGGGCTCTGCACTGACAGTGTGGAGCCCACTTGGGAATCTCTGTCTTCCTCTCTCTGTCCCTCCCCCGTTCATGTACTTGCATTCTCTCTTTTTCCTCTCTCTCTCAAAAATAAATAAGCATTTAAAAAACAAATATGTTTGAATTTGGCACTTCTAAAAATCCAACAATTTGGATTAGGTCTGCTTGTTACTAAAAGAGCTTCAGTTCTAATAAAGCCAAATACAAAAGATCCTTATGTGCCCCCTTTATTTCTCCTTACACGTGGAATTTTTAGCTTCTGTCTAGAAACTGAATACAGTTGGATTTAGGTCTTAGGGAGGGGTAAGAGTGAAATAATTATTATTCTGTGTTACTCATTTAGTTACTTAAACCTGAAAAATAGAGGTGCCATTCTGGTTATCTAGTTTGTACACTTTCTGTGTCATGAGCTAGATGGTAAAGTGTTTGGAGGTTTTTAGCTCTTTTTAGACCAAGCAGATGTTTCATGAAGACAAACCATATTTTAAAGCATGAGTAGATTTTTCTCAGTCCACATTTATCAGTTTATAATTAGTTCATCAGTTATTAGATTCTAGTATAAACTTGTCATCAGTAATAAGGATTGCTAACTTTGTTAAAAGGTCCTATTTGGCACTGTAATAAAAATTTTGGAGACAGTGCATTAGAAGCTACTAGGAAGAAGCAACTTTGAATCAGAAGTTGATTCTTACACCTAGATTGAAATCCTGTTTTACACTGTTTTGCTTTGTATATATACCACTCTATGTACATTATTTATGAATATGCTGTCTTTCCAAGTAGATCATCAGCAACTTCAGAGTATGGTTTTGTTTTCTATTTCTCTGTCTCTCTCTTTTTTTTTTTTTTTTTTTTTTTGAGAGAGAGTGAGAGACAGCAGGGGAGAGGCAGAGAGAGAGGGAGAAAGAATCCCAAGCAGGCTCCATACTGTTGGTGCAGAGCCTGACATGGGGCTTGAACCCACAAACTGTGAAATCATGACCTGAGATGAAATCGAGTCAGATGCTTAACCAACTGAGCCACCCAGGCACTCCAGATTTCTATTTCTCTTGATTCTAGTGAATAAATAGTTCACTAATTAACATTAAGTAAGCTAAGTAAGCATTAAGTAATACCTTAGGGGAGAAATTCTTTTTCTTTTATTCTTAATTTCTCTGAAATATTAGAGATGAACACAGAATATAGAATGAATATAGAAAACGTTCCATACCTTTCTGGATATTAGTGGCATAGAAGAGAGGAATAAAATGTCCAAAATAAAAGTTCTATGTAAATTGCTTACAAAATTAGCTACTTAGCAAACATAAGAATCAGGGCCCCAAAAGTGAAATAAATCAAATCTAAAATATGTTAAATGACCATGGCTGGGGAAAGAAAATATTTGAAAATTTAAATTACCCATATTATTCAATAATATCTGTGTCATATTTATTCAGCCTGCATGTTTTCTATTTTTTTTAAATTGTTTAATAATCCAAGTTTGGGAAATATAAAAAAACATTGTTCATGTTGGCACTATTTTTGACATTGATGAAATATTACTTAATGCAGTTGTCAAATAAATAGAAGTACCGCAGTCTGTCCTCATTTCTCAGATATTTGCTAGTGATGCCTCATAGGAAGAATCACATTTAAAAAGACCATTGTTTTGGAAGGAGTTCATCTGGAAAATCACAGACACTGTGGCCTATTTACAAGATAAGTCAGATGTGGGTGATGATAACTATTTGCCTGTGTTAATGTAAAGACAGTAATTATTTGATGTTTTGCCAACTTTCAAGTCATACTGAAAAAATTTACAATAATCAATGGATTCTTTCAAAGTGGAAATATTGGAGGCTTTGTATAAGAGTTAGAAACTTCTTGGAAATTAAGAACTTTACAGATTCTCAACAATTTGTGTGCATGTGTGTATGTATAAAAAGGCATCTGTGATACATGAGCAGTACTGAGACATTTAGATAATTACCAGTCATCATAAGTAGGCTATCATAACCTCAAAAGTATATCTATATATAGTCAAGAGACATAAATGATCTAGGAATGAAGTCTTCGTCTGCCTTGTGTACCTGGTAAATTTCAAATTCTACACTCAAAAGAATGACTATCACAAAGGTGAAGAATCAAGCTGAAAGAAGTACTAATTATGACACTTTTATGAGACTCAAACCAATCTTCTGTGAATTTCTTTCACATTTCACATTTTAAACTTATATATTTAAGCCAGACTCAAGAAAGAAAAATGGAATTAGAGTGATAGGATTACATTTTGGGAGGGAATATGAGTTGTGTATTTGTCATCATCATGTCTTTAAATATTTATGTGGAATTCACATGAGTTTGGTATCTATCCAGAAGTATTTATTATTTTCAGAATCTTCTACTGTTAATTAATATTAGGAATAGTTACTTAGGCTCTTTATCTTTTCATATATATCAGGAGTCAATTATTTAATGGAAAAATAAATCCTCACTTGTTTTAAAACACTGTATTTACACAGTTTTCTATAATCACAGCATGTTTTATCTGTGGAAGATTTAACCCTTCCCTCGAAGAATAAGCTATAAGATATGGTCTGCCTAATGGTGACCACAACTTTGATGCCCAGTTGGTGACCAAATCTCAGTAATCTTGGGCTAAGTCCATCATATTTCCCTGCCAAGCTAGTTTCTCCTTTCTGCTATTTTAGTAAACTGATGTTTCTATGTAGTCACTTGGCAGCCAGGAATGTGGAGGTATTCTAGACACCCTCTTCTTTTGTTTTACTCATAGTCTTTCACCAAATCATGTAAATTGCACATTTTCACATATTATGAATTTGTCCCCTCCTGACCACCACTATTGTAGAGTTTTTGTCAATACCCTTATCATGTCTTTGGGCTAATGAAGTGCTCCTCTAGTCATCCATCTGTCATTCTGTTGCCTTGCATAATGGCTCTATGTCATCAGCTGATAAATTAGAAAATCCTTAAATTGTCCATAAAGTGTCCTTAGGATCCTACATAAGTTGGCCCCTGTTTGCCCCTTTCATCTGGTCTCTTTCCAGTCTCTCAAACTGAACCCTAGTTGTAGCCATTCCAAATTTCATACAGTTTTCTAATCATTCTAGGCTTTTCCTAACTGCTTCTCTTTATGTTGTTCTTCACTAAAAGTTATCCCCACTCCCCACCTTCTTTCACCATGTGCCTTAGTTGGCATACTCATTTTTCAACATTCAGATCAAATAGGTAAAATTGATAACTTTCTTTTGTGTCCTGTATACACATAGGTCTTTCACATTCACAGTACCTATGACACTTTATTCATACACATCTATTTACTTGTGTGTTTTGCCACAATAGAATGAAAGCTGCTCAGATATTGACATTCTACTTTATTCATCTTTGTGTCTTCAGAAAATTGCAAAATTTTTTATGGTTAATATATACTTATTGAATTGATAGATGAAGTAACAAAAGTTAATACCTGGGTTTTCAATAGGCATTTCAGGTGGAAGTCATATTTTTTGATTACTGTTGAGAGGCACTGTCTGGAAAGAAAAAAAAATGACTTTGTCTAAAAGTGGGTAAGAAAACTTATATTAACTTTAGCATATTTATCATAAGTTCTGTTTTGTCCATGATTCTATAGCAGACATGGCTTAAAAAGGATTGCTACTGACACGGTTTTAAAAACCATTTTGGAAGGATGTTTATAAACTTTGTGTAACTTGATAGCCTACAGACATATCTGAAAACTTTAGAACTCCAAAGAAATCCATGACAAATTAACCAAACCTCTCAAAGACTGTTCATAATATCAAACTATTCTTACTTCAAAATGTAAGTTATGAAAGGATTTATGAGCAGATAATGACAAATACTAACATCAAGAATTGTTAAATATGCAAACACTTGTAGAGAATTGCTCTCAGAATTAATGACATATATTTATAATAGATAAGGCTGTCTTTGGCATCAAACCTCTGTATCTTTTTGCCCTAAGCTTCTCTTATTTCTCCAACCTTATCTATGTTTAGGTGGAATACATGTGAGATGAGCAGAGGTTCTTCTTACTTCACTAATCAAAATTATTTTCCAAACATCATGACTTTCTCTTCCCATTTCTCTTCCTGAAAACCGCTGAATTGAACAAATCATACAACACAAAAAGTGTTAAAGACACACCAATGTATTTTACAATAACTGCCTTCTCAGCCTTTATTAAATCATCACTTCAGTTGGATTAAATCTGACAGTTCAAAGACAAAATGCATTGACCATGTAAAAAATCAGTGGAGGTATAGGAAAAGAATAGTGAAAGATTTGGCTATTGAAGGGAGGGTTTTTATATAAAATATGACCCCAAAACTTAAAAGACCCTCAAGAATATATACCCTCAGCACCTTGCTGTTAAGCATTATATTTATTTTATAGAAAAAACCCTGGAAACTAATGAAGGTATATGATTTGCCCAACTTCTAAGAGGAAGTTAAGTCAGGGAAGAGTGAAACTGAAAATAAAGCTCCTGCCATCTAGTGTGTGATCTTTTAATGGCACCATAAAGTAGTCTGAGGAGGGAAGGCAGAATAGCATTGTATTACAGAGAGCAGTCTTGGAGGTCTCCAACTTGGAGGTCTCCAAGATGGCAAAGTACGAGATCCCAGTCTCTGTATTCTCACAATTAGACAACTATCTATGAACAAAAACAGCTCTGGGAGAGCTTAGGAATCCTTGCAAGAAACTTTGACAACACTGTAGAACAAGAAACCCTGAGAATAACCACACAAAAATGGGAGGGCACTTTCATTTTGCCTGCATCATCTCATCCTGCAGGCCAGCACTGCTCACTGTCCACAGGGAAATCCCCTTGCTGAGAAAGGGACAGTAGGTGAGCCAGCAGCTTCCCCCAGCCTTTTGGGACACTACAAGAAGGACCTGCATTGATTTTACCCTACCCAGAGACCAGCAAAGCTGAGATATGTAAAGACAGCCAGGAACAAGGAAGAAGGGGCTGCCAGCATCAGTAGTGTAGGGGGAGTTACTGTGGTTCCCAGTGACCTGCAATGCAGAGGGCCCCAGTACCTTTCACCACTGGAGAAATCAACAGCCAACACAGCAGCTGCAGAGCCGCAGGCAGATTTCACTCTTTCCCTCCCCCTATCACACACAGGTATTCATATTCACAAACAGCAGCTGCTTGAGTCCCTCCCAGCTCCCTTTCCTACCCACTGCCACCCTAAGGCTCACTGGCAGCTGGTTCCCAAGGTGTGCACCTGCAAGCCCTTGGCCTGGTTTCTGTACTGGCCTTCACTGCCATGCACATGTTTTAGGGAGACGCTGCAGGCACAGGAATGCACACCAATTGCCAAGACCCACACAGATGCTTGTGGGCCTGGTTCTGGCCCTGTTTCCTGTGACTGGCCTACACTGTTGGGCTTGCTTGCAACCAGCCACTCCAGCTGTGTACCTGTATCTAACCAGCCTGAATCCCATAATAGCCTTCATTGCTGTGCACATGACCAAGGTGAGACTGCAGCCACAGGAGTGCATACCAACATCCAGGGCCCCACAGTGCCAGTGCACCTACAGTTAGTCGTAGCCCTTGCTGCCAGCCCTGCCCTCCCCCATACTATATGTACGTCTGCAACCAGTTCCTGCCACTACACAGGCACTTGCAGCTGACACCCAAACTCAATGTGTGCGTGCCACCAACTCTAGCAACAACCATTGCCTACCCTGGGCCCTAGCTGCTGGACCCAGAAACACCACTGAAGATGCCAACAGCACTTGTTAAAGATGTTGTAGGCCCCAGTGGCCTGAGCTGAGGAGACATCACATTCACCAGACGTGGGTCTTCCACATGACTGTATACTTGGTGCCCTGCACCACTAGACTCACAGCCATAGCATGCTCCAGTGTGCCTCACCTGCAGGTGAAGATCCTGTACTGAGGTCAGCCTATAAAGTCTGGAAGATGTGACTGCTTCTTCTCAGGCCCAGACATCTAGGCAAGGCTCCAGGGATCATAAAGAGTCAGGGAAATATGACACCACCAAAGGAACACAGTCAACTTAAAGCAACTGACCCCAAAGACATGGAGCCACATGAATTGCCTGACAAAAAATTCAAAATAATTATTCTAAAGATGCTCAGAGAAATATAAAAGAACACAGAAAGACAATTTAATGAACTCATCAAAACAATGTAAGAACACAATGAGAAGTCCAACAAAGGTATAGAAAATGTAAAAAAAAGAACAAGAGTTTTGGAGATAAGAAATACAATGGCCAAACTGAAGAATTCAATATAGAGCTTCAGCAGAAGAAGGGACCAAGCAGAAGAAAAAAATCAGTAAGCTCAAAGACAGATTATTTGAAATTACTTAAGCAGAAGAACAAAAACAAATTTAAAAAAAGTAAAAAAGGAATTTAAAAAGTCTATGGGATTCATGGGGCCCCATAAAGAGAAACATGTGCATGTCATTGGAGTCCTGAAAGAAGAAGATAAGAGAAAGGAGCTGAAAGCTTAGTTAAATAATGGCTTTTGAACTTCCCAAACCTGGGGAGATATTTGGACATTATGAAGTAATAGGTTACCCTATAATTTCAATCCAAAATGATCTACTCCTAGACACATAACAAAATAAAATGGTCTAAAATCAAATACAAAATTTCAAAAGCAGCAAGAGAGAATAATTTTTCCTCATAAAAGAATCACCATAAAGCTATCAGTGGATTACTCAGCAGAAATCCAACAAACTAGGAGAGTAGGATGATAAGTGTAAGTTGCTGAAAGAAAAAACAAAACAAAACAAAACAAGAAAGACCCCTGCCAACTAAGAATACTTTACCCAACACAATTGTCCTTCAGAAATTAAGGTGAAATAAAGACTGTCACAAACAAAGGAAAGGAGTTCTTCAGCACAAGGCATGCCTTAGAAAAAATGCTAGTTCCTCAAGCTGAAATGAAGAGATGCTAATTAGTAACAGGAAAACATGAAAATATACAACACACTTTACTGGAAAGATAAGTACATAGTCTAATATAGTAATAATGATGTGTCAATTACTTAACTCTAGTATAGAGATTAAGGAAAAATATTAAAAATAGCTAAAGTTTCATATTGTCAATGGATATATAATACAAAGAGGTATAAATTCTGACATCAAAAGCATAAAATGTTAGGACAGAGTAAAACGTAGAGTTTTTATGCAAATAAGGTTAAATTGCTATCGGCTTAAAAGACTGTTATAAGATATTTCAAGTAAACCTCAGAGTAACCACAAAACAAAAACCTATCACAGATATGCAAAGGTAAAGAGAAGAAATTAAAGTATACTACTATGGCCAATCATCAATTCAGGAAGAGAGAAAGGAACAGAAAAAGAAAGAAAGAAGAAAGAAAAAAAGAAGACAGACAGAAAGAAAGAAAGGCTACAAAACAAAACAATTAACAAGATGGCAATAGTGAGTCATTAACTATCAATTATTATTTTAAATGTAAAGTTTTTCAGTCAAAGGACAGCTAGTAGCTGAATGGATGAAAAAAGACAAATATACTGCCTGCAAGAGATTCCCTTCAGCTTGTAGAGCATACATATATTCATAGTGAAGGGATGGAAAAAGGTACTTCATGTATAATAGAGACCAAAAGATAGTAGAGGTAGCTGTACTTATATTACACAAAGTAGACTTTAATTTAAAAGCTGTTACAAGAAACAAAGAAGGATCAAAAGAGACTATTATGAACAATTATATGCTAAAAAAATTGGACAACCTGGAAGAAGTGAACAAATTCCTAAAAAATACGACCTACCAAGACTGAATCAGGAAGAAATAGAAAATCCAAATAGACCAATAATAAGAAGATTAAATCAGTAATTAAAAACCACCCAACAAAGAAAAATTCAGGAGCAGATTGCTTCATGGGTAAATCCTACCAAATGTTTAAATAAAAATTAATGCCAGTTCTTGTCAAACTCTTCCAAGAACATGAAGAGGTAGGGACACTCCCAAACTCATTATATGAAGTTAGAATTACCCTGATGCCAAAGCCCGATAAGGACAATACAGAAAAAGAAAACTATGAGCCAATATCCCTGAAGATTATAGATGCAAAAATTCTCAACAAAATACTTGCAAACCAAATTCAACAGCATATTAAAAGTATTATATACCCCATGACCAAGTAAAATTTGTCCCTGGGATGCAAGGATGATTCAACTACACAAATCAATAAATTTAATAAAGCACATAAATAAATCATTGATCATCTCAATAGAAGCAGAAAAAGCATTTGAAAAAATGTAACATCCTCTCATTATGAAAACTTTCAACAAATTGGGTATAGAAGGAACACATCTCAACATAATAAAGTGTACATATGACAACCCACAGCTATCATCATACTCCATGGTGAGAGGTTGAAAGTACTTCCTTTCAGGGGTGGCTGGGTAGCTCAGTTGGTTAAGCATCCAATTTTGGCTCAGGTCATGATCTCACAGTTTGTGAGTTTGAGCCCTGTGTCGGGCTCTGTGCTGACACCTCAGAGCCTGGAGACTGCTTCAGATTCTGTCTCCCTCTCTCTCTCTGCCCCTCCTCCACTCATGCTCTGTCTCTCTCTGTCTCTCAAAAATAAAATAAACATTAAAAAAATTTTAGAAAATACTTCCTCTAAGAGCAGGAACAAGATAAGTGTTCCCACTCTCACTCCACCTATTCAACATAGTACTAGAAGTCTTACAGTAATCAGGCAAGAAAATGAAATAACAGGCATTCAATCTCAAAGGGAGAAGTAAAACTGTGTCTGTTTGATGATGGTGCAGTCTTGTATATAGAAAATTCTGAAGATTCCACCAAAATACTGTTAGAACTAATGAATGAATTCTATAAAGTTTCAGGATGCAAGATAAATACATACACATCAGTTGAGTTTCTATACACTAACAAAGTTTTGAAAAATAAAAAAGTTTTACTTACAATAGCATCAAAACAAAAACAAAACCAAAAAAAACCTCAGGAATAAAATTTAACCAAGGAAGTGAAAGAGCTATACACTGAAAGCTATGAGACATTGATGAAAGAAATCAAAACACATAAATAGAATGGCATCCAAGTTTTTATATTAGAAAAGTTACTATTGTTAAAATGTTCATACTACCCACAGCCATCTATAGATTCAATTTATTTTTTTTAAGTAAGCTCTATACCCAACATGAAGCTTGAACTCACTACCCTGAGATCAAGAGTAGCATGCTCTACCAACTGAGCTAGCCAGACATCCCTATTCAATATAATTTTATCAAAGTTCCAGTGCTATTCTTCACAGAAATAAGAAAAATAATCCTAAAATTAATATATAACCACAAAATATCCGGCAGAGCCAAAGCAATCCTGAGAAAGAACAAATCTGGAGGCATTACACTTCCTGACTTCAAATTATATCACAAAGATTTGGGAATCAGAAGTATTATGACACTGATATAAAAACAGACACATAGATGAATCGAATAGTCTTGAGAGCCCAGAAACAAACCTACACATATATGGTCAAGTAATATTTGACAAGGAGCCAAGAATAATAAGTGGGGAAAGGATAGTCTCTTCAATAAATAGTTTGGGATAACTGGATATTCTCATGCAAAAGAATGAAATTGCACTCTATCTTAAACCTAAAACAGCAAAGGAAAGAATGCATAAAATGAAAAGGCAACCTGGTTTATGGGAGGAAATATTTGCAATCCATATATCTGATAAGGGGTTAATATCCAAAATGTGTAAGGAGCTCATACAACTCAATAGTGAAAAATCAATCCGATTTAAAAAATGGGCAGAGGACTTGAGTAGACATTTGCCTTAAAAATATATACAAATGGCCAACAAGCACATGAATAACAAGTACATAAACAATATCACTAATCATCAGGAAAATGCTACACTTGACTTTAGCTCAAAGGCTGAAAAGAAATGGGGAAATGCAAATCAAAATCACAATTAATATCCCCTCACACCCCTTAGAATGGCTATTATCACAAAGACTCTGGTCAAGGCTATTCAGAAAAGGGAACCCTGGTGTACTGTTGGGAATGTAAATTGGTTCAGCCACTATGGAAAACAGTATGAAGTTTCCTCAAAAAATAAAAAATAGAACTAACATATCATCCAGCATTCCCCACTTCTAGTATTCAAAGGAAATTAAATCACTATCTTGAAGAGATAGCCGCACTCCCAAGTTCATTGCAGCATTATTCACAATAGCCAAGACATAGAAACAACCTAAATGTCCATCAATGGATGAATGGATAACACGTGTACATATACATATACACACACACATATAATGTTATTATGTATAAAATGTATAATGCTATTATATATGTGAAAAATATATAATATATATCAATACTATAAATACTATATATAAAATAAAAATATATTTATATAATTTAATGTTGTATACAATATTAATAGTTAAGTGGAATAAGTGCTGAGTGTTAGACATTTGGTTTTAGTCCTGGCTATGGCATTAATTATCTGTATGATGGTTGACAAACTTTTAAACTTTTCTGTGTTTTAGTTTCCTTACCAGAGGAGAAGCAGCAATGCCCTGGGGTTAAAGGGCAGGGGTGGAGGAATTAGATTTTGAGATTAGTCTGTGCCTGCCAGGGTTCCTCCAGTCTCTGTGGTGGCAGAGCTGTTGTGTTACCCGAATTTAACTCCGTGGACACTTGTATTGCACAATGGTCAAGGTCACCAGACTTCTGTGAGGGGGCTGGCAATGGCAGGGTAAGACAGAAAGAGAAGGAAAACTGTCTTGCTCTCCCCTTCTTCTCACAGCCTCCCCTTGTCTCTCTGTGCCCCAGACAGCATCTACCTACATACAAGTGACAGTCCTCCATCAAACCAGTTCAGAACAGTCCTTTGTCTCCCAAGGATTTCCCACTTTTTAAAGAATTTGTCAGATTTGATGCTTTCCTCTAAGTTTTTTTTTTTTTTTTTTTTGGATAAATTTATTTTGGAATGAGGAAACTACAGCTGTTGTTAATATGCCATTTTGATGGGAACCTATACCTGATCCATGTAATTAGCTATAAAATAAAAGTTTAGATTAGGATATATTCAAAGTCCTCTGTAGTCCTACCCATTCTGTGATTTTGTTGTGTGAGGATGAATATTTTGGGGGAAATAAAGAGAGGCATACAGGGAAAGACAGAATAGTTTTAATAAAAGAATAGGGTCTTTGCAAATTTCACACAGCCCTGATTTCTGTCCTACCACTAATGAACTGAATAGCCTTATGGAAGTTATTTAACCTTCCAGAACTTGGGTTTCTTTGATTCTGAAGTAAATTTTGTGTCTTATCACAGGGCTGTAGGGAGAATTAGATGAGATAATGCATGTAAAATGTACAATAACTCCACTAAGTGATTGATAGCTATTATGATAGTCACTAAAAACGATTTTAACTCATATTTTTTATATCAGGCTTTGCTTTGGAGATTATGATATATACCTCCCATACCCGATTTTTTGCTCATTCAGCTCAGAACAACTTTAATTTCAGATAAACCCATACTGTAGCACTGATATCTTCTCCCAGGCTAGCTTCCTGATGGGTCTATTCTTTCAAATAATACATGCATACATTTAGATATGAGAATCAGTTAGGATATGTTCATTTACTGTCATTTGAGTTTTCCAGTTTGAATTCATGCTCCTCTGTTTATGATATACCAGTTATTTTCAGGGAATTCAAGAAAAATTTAAAGCCGGATGTGGTGACTTTCAAAGTGTGGAAATTCGGTTATACAAAGAGCTTAGTGACACATGCACACGCAAATTCACAAAATGAATGAGGAAAAAAATTCTTGAAAACATAATAACCGGTAGGAGAGATATTTTAAAATGAATGTTAGATTGTTCTGGAAGGTGTTAGCAGCTCTTCAAATGTATCTGAATAGCTGTGAAGAATAGATAATTATTAACAGAATTTGCCAAAGGGAGATATCTATTAAAAGTACAATAGCTTCCACGGTACTAACAAAAGGACAGTTTTTACAGTCAACTGAAAAATATTGTGATTTGGCACTTGAGAACTTGGTCAGAAAGTAGTCTTGGAACAAAATAAAATGTCTTACCTGGATATTTTCCAAATATGCATAAATTCTAGAAGTTGGTTCAGATAAAACTGACTGTGGTCATCTTCATGCTGTAGACAGCAGAATATATTAATATTTATAGAGTGAATCGGAATGAGTACCAGATAAAAATAGGTCTGTGGCTTCCTGCTGTCATTTTATTCACCTCTTTTGATAACCCTCATTCATCATTTTAATACTTTGTTTTAAAGACTTTGTAAGACTCTTCTTAACTCTATAAGCATTCTTTTCAAAAATGAATCAGAAAGCTGAGCTTTGGGAGAGGATAAACTTCAAGGACAGAAGAAAAGCATCCTGGCATCACCAAGGTTAAGCATTAAGTTCTCCTAGCAGAGGGCAGTTTTGCAGACTGGTTCTCTCACATACATGCACATTTTCTTTACATTTAGGCTATGGATGCCATGGCAGTGTGTGGCCTGACAGCTTGCCAGATCAGTTGGCAGGCCTAGAATGAGCTCCCATTTTTCAACTTCACCACACCTTGCCTCCCAAATGTGAGTGTAACAGAACTTTCTATTTCGTGAACATTGAAGTGTGCTAATGAGTGACAACTATAAATTCCAGGAGTTTTCAGGAGGCATGTGTTTTCTCCCAAGATTAGCAGAAACTACTTATCATAAACTATCAGTCCTGTGGTCCATACGCATAAACACACACGCGTGCGTGCACACACACACACACACACACACTTTCACACCATAACTCCTTGATTAGCTCTTCTGCAACAGGCATTCATGAAAATCCTGTGCAAGTCTGCAAAGGAGAATGCAATATAACTTCCCCATAATTGCACCATTTTCACTATACACAGCTGTTAAGTTTGAAAGCTTAATGCCTGGAGTGCATGCAATCTTGGATGTTAATACACAATCTATTTTTAAAACTGCCTATTAGAGCTCCTGACAGAAAACATCAGAAGGAAAACCTTTATATGGCCTAAGGCCAAAAGTGTATTATTGGGCTCTTTTGTGAGGAAGAAAGAAGTTGTTACATGGAGAGAATAAGGTCATAACTGTAATACAATACCTTGAATGCACGCTAAAAAAAACCAAAACAAAACAAAAAAAAACCCCAAAAACTTTCAGAAGAAGAAAAGAAACTTCTTTCAGAAGTTAAAACAACCAAAGAAAGCATATAAATAATGACTTATTTGCATCTTTCTGTATAGCATAATCATATTCATTTTAAAACCACTTTACTTGGCTTCCAGAGATGCCTTTGGGGGAGAAATTGGCCTTTGTCATATTGTCACTTACAAGGAAAGTTTTGTTTTGTTTTGTTTTGTTTTGTTTTGTTCTTATTTAAGGGAGCTCAAAAGTCTAGAGAACAGTCTTGAGCAGTTGTCCATGGAATATATCATATACTTTACTTTTCTCCAAAGCTGAAGGCATACCTTCATCTTAAGGAAAAAGTTAAGGTTTCTTTTTTTTCCTTTTTCATACAAAAATCTGCTCTCTGTGTTCTGTGAGTTTCCTTGAGCTAAAATGAAATTTGATTTTATGATTAATGTCAACAATGTTGAAAATACTTATCAAATTTGAGAGACATAAAGAGAACATTTTTTTTAAAGACTCAATTATACACATCTAGTCAAGATGGAGATTGTAAAATTTTGAAATTTAGAAAGATTTATATGGACTGTCAAACTATTTTATGAATAATCTCATGGAACAAGAATTAAATTACCATATTTCTGTATAACACAAGCAATTTTAAAATAGGAAAGGCATCTGAGATGAATTGAATAGTACAATGTGCCTTGTACAATTAGAGAACTCTAAAAGTATCTACTGAAAGGCAATGGTGTCAATAAACTTAATGAAATGATAATTATCATAATGTTCCTAGCATTATATAGAAGAAATAAGCCATTGTATGTTGTTTTACTGGAAAGAAAATATAATTGTTTATAAATGTTTTTATACAGCTAAAATTATGAAAACTGTAGAGAATTTTGAAACCACTTTAAACAGTAGGATCAAGAGAGAAGAACATTCAGTATCTCCTTACTATATAGAGTTTGTAATGGTAAAAAGCTAAAATGCCATCCCTAATTTTATGACATTAATAACTGATACTTACGTAGTCCCAGTTAGGCACAGGCACTGCTTTAAGCTCTCATTTACATTTCTCAATTAAGTTACAATAATAATCATATTAGGTAAATATTATTATTCACATTTTTTAACAAGGAAAGTAGGGTGAATATAATAATTTATCCAAGAGAAGACATTTGAATTTGATAGTATGGATCCGCAATCTCTGTTTTTAAACAAGATGCCAAGTTAGCAAATTTAACACTCTTTATTTATATTTATGGGGAGAACTAGGTTTATATGTTCTAGGATTTATACATAGAAATGATTACCACCCCTGATTCATCTGTGTCAGGTGTTCTTACTCCAGGCTTTAGAAGCATAATTGTCTCTTTCTTTTGAAGCACATATCTCTATCAGACTTTTAAATGTATATTTGTTTATTGTATGTCTTCTTTACCAGAATGAAAACTCTGCATTCTAGAATAAGTACTGAAATGTCTTGTTTGTCTTTGTATCTCCAGTATTTAGAAGAGTGCCTATATGGTAGTTGGTGAATAAATGAGTATCTGTCTGCACGTATATGTTTCCTAAGACATAATTCTGAATTTTAAGTAGGTTCGCTAACTTGTTCATTCACTATGTAAGACCCTCAAAGACAAGTACTGAATATTGCATGTAAAAAATATTCAATAAATATATGTTGAATTGGGGCACCCGGGTGGCTCAGTTGGTTAAGCATCTGACTTCAGCTCAGGCCATGATCTCAGAGTTTATAAATTCAAGCCCCAAGTAGGCTCTGTGCTGACAGCTTGGAGCCTGGAGCCTGCTTCAGATTCTGTATCTCCCTCCCTTTCTGCCTCTCCCCTGCTCACACTCTGTCTCTCTCTCTCTCTCAAAAATAAACACTAAATTTTTTAAAAATATTTATTGAATTAATGAATTGTTTTTAGATTATATATAATGTACTTGCATAGTATCTTAAAGTAAACCCTTATAGATTTTAATAAGGATGTAATATCTTCTCTTTGAAATATGATGCTAAAAAATCCTTCAAGAACCAGTATTTGGGGCAAATAGAGACATGGGATGCCTTTTTAATAGTTTGTGTGGAGGCTACCACTGCTCTTTAACTGAGAGTCAGAGCCAGTTGAATCCCCTGTGCACTAAGCCCTTTGAAGTCTGGGATGTTGTTGATTTTGTTCAGTACTCTAACCTACTACACCACAGTGATATAGTTAATATGTGAGTAAATGGAGAATATATTATACACTTCTGTGTCATCAAGCATATTATCTATTTTTAAATGTTTATTTATTTTGAGAGAGAGAGGGAGGGGCAGAAATACACACACACACACACACACACACACACACACACACACACACACAGAGAGAGAGAGAGAGAGAGAGACAGAGAGAGACAGAGAGAATCCCAAACAGCCTCTGTCCTGCCAGCTTAGAGCCCCATGCAGGGCTTCATCTCCTGGACCATGAAATCATGACCTGAGCCGAAATCGAGTTGGGTGCTCAACCAACTGAGCCACCCAGGCACCCCATCTATTTTTAAATAACAGTGTTAGTGTAGGAGAAGTTGTGGTTGAGAAAAAGCATTTATACTTTTTATCTGTAAATTGTTGAATTGGCCAAGAGATGGTGATATTCACTATAGGAAGTAAAGTTTGTGAGTTGAAGCATAAAAAAAGCAGCCATGTAACTTAAATCCTGCTATGATCCAAATGAGACATTGAAAATCAGGAATTTCTAGTGATAATTATACACTTCACACCCAGAAATGACTATATTCTTGTGCCTGGATATGATGATGACAACAGCCCATAGATATTACATTGGCTGGAATTATGATATAGTGAGCTCTATGACTAGACTAGCTGTGCTCAAATTTCATCTCCTTCTTTAGTTGCTATGAGACTTTAGGCTGAGAACAGCCTTACTCTTCTGAATTTTCAGTACTTTTATTTAAAAAAAGGAAAATAATACTAATTATCACTTTTTTTTGCTCTTGATTTATTGTGAATAAATACATATAAAGCACTGATAACAGTACTTGGCATCTAATATATACTTAATATGGTTAATCATCATGGAACACCTATCATGTCCCAGACTTTGATGTAAGTGAATATAGCCATGGAAAACAAAACTATATATATATATATATATATACACACACACACACACACACACACACACACATCCCAAGTATACTTGTCATGTAGGTTGATAGCATAAAGTATGGGCTATGGAGACTGACTGGGCTCAAATCCAAGCTCCTCTGCTTACCAGTTCCATGAATATGATCTGGGCATGGCCATGGAGCTCCTTGTGATTCAGTTTCTTTATTTTTAATAGTATTTGCCACATAGAATTATTGTGAAGATTAAATAAAGTCCCAGACTTAAAATATATGTCAGCATACATTGTATTCAAGTAGTGGTGTTAAATGGATTTAAATATAAACCTTAATTTACATGAAATTGAAATGTTAGTGATTTGTGAATTGCTACCAATGAAATAAGTTATTTTTTAGCAACATGAAAGTTCTCAAGGAGAGTAGAAATTCTAATCATATATTTTCGCTTCTTCCCCCATGTTGAAATGAAACATGATGATTTTAGCTTTTTCAAAACATTGAGGACAATTTGAAGACTCTTATGTTTATTAATATTGAGAGTATTAGTTGTACTTTATAATGTTTCTCTGTGGAGATTTCAGATGCATAACCCTGGAGCTGTCAACACTGGCTGAGTTGAGTACCAGTTCCAAAAGATTTTTCTAAACAACTCTCTTTTGGCCTCATTATGTTATATTCCACATAGATATACTGCAACCTAATGCACCACCTGACACTTTTTATGATGAAACACCTCAGACTAGGAAAAAAAAAGTCATGCACTGGAAATCTGTTATCTGATGTAAATGACAGGGTGATGGGATTTTTGCTTAAAGCAGGTAATTGGAAGATTCTACAGATAAAGCTGCCAAAATATCAAAGTTCATTGCATACTGTGCAATTTGGGTTTGAAATAACTCAAGACATCACATAGGGAATAAAATTCATATCCAACAGCATGGAATTGTGTCATTAAAGCACAGTAATCCCTTTCTAGGTAGTTTTATTATATATATTATGAATATTAATCTGTCTTGATTTAAATTGTTTTGATACCGACAAACAATCTTCAAATAGAGCAAGTTATTTTTCTTCCTTCAATGGCTTTCCCCTCACATTTTTTACTCTGTTCACTTCCTAGTGGCTTCCTGGATAGTATGAATATAATAACCTTAATAAGTTTCTCATAAATTATTTTTCCAAGAGACCAATTGATTTACTATTATACCAGGGTTGCAGTAATGTGTTCATGTAATTGCTTCGGTTCGAATTGTTAACAGGCATTTAGATAAATATTTTATTATGTTTCAGTAAACATACTCAAATGAACATGTATTCATTAAGCTATGTAATTCCAAACTGGCAACCATCCATAAAGATAGGAATATTGTCCTTAAAATGATCAGCTTGAAAATTCAAATCAACGCTAAAAAATCTTACCTTTCGAGATAATTTTCCTGGAACTTTCCCATTTTTATGAAGAGTAAGTTGAATAACAGATTTATCTTTCTGAAATATTTTGTGGCTCCCCAAAGAGTAATCACTGAAGAAGAAAAAAATGAATACAGTCATTTCCTCCAGAATACTCCCAAGTGTATTATTTTCCTCTCTGACTTTGTTTCTTTTCATTTTTTTGGAACTTAGTCTGGTAAAATTTTATATATATCCTAGTCCTATATACTTATTTAAAAATATATCCTCATTATATTCATTTTAAATGATAAGATATTACAATTATTCTTCAAGTGCATCAAGTTAGAAAATGATTAGATATCTTTGCAATGGAGATAAATTATAATAGAGAATATTTTACATATCCAAAGTTAGTTGTTTTTTTTTTTTTATCCAGTCCTCTCAAAGCTGAGGACAACATGCTTCTGGGAGGTCTAACTGATGCCACAAAGTGTATGCAGGGACCACTGTATCAAGGAAGTGGAGTAGTGAGGTGGAGATGTCATGGGCTTTAGAGACAGATTTACTAGCTCCATGACCTTAGGCAAGCCAATTAAACTATCTGAAACTCAGTATATGTATTTTAGAGTTGATATTATTAATGTCCAAATGAAAGGGTTGACAAGCAAATTAAATAGACAGAATATCCCCACATATTTTAGAAATTTCTAAAGGCATAATTTTCTTCTTCCTTCCTTTCCGCTCTCTCCCTGTAAGAGCCATTAAAAAGGATGAATTATGTTAATGTACTTTATTAAGGATCTTGGTTAAATGTATGACGGATTTCAGTAGAAAAAACCCTTATATTAAAACATTTGAGGGGTGCCTGGTGGCTCAGTCAGTTAAGTATCCAACTTCAGCTCAGGTGATGATCGTGATTTTGAGCCCCTCGTCAGGCTCTGTGCTGACAGCTCAGACAGAGCCTGGAACCCAGATTCTGTGTCTCCCTCTCTCTCTGCCCCTCCACCACCCACACTCTGTCTTTCTCTGTCTCTCAAAAAAAAAATAAACATTAAAAAAATTAAAACATTTGAGGCCCTTAAGTTGACATACCCATTTATCTGGAAAATTCACTAAACATTTGGGATCGGTTATTCCCAACAGTGACAGAGAAATAAAGCATTACTCAGTTGATAGCTAGTAAATTTTCTATAAATGCTCTTATTTCAACAACTGATATCTTTTTTAAGAAGACCCAACACCTGTCCACTCACTAAAATGGTGAATGTTGGTATCCATAACATTTGTTCTACACCTCATTCCCACAGCCCCTGTTAGATTTCTGTCCCAGTACTCTCTGTATTGTTCCTTGAGTTATTTCTGCTGCTAGTCTACACATAAGGCATGGCATGTGTATTCCCTGAGTTCCTGCCTTCCTCACTGACCAAGTTCTGCAGCAAGGGCATTCTCCATATTCTATCACATGGACTCAAGTTCCTCTCCTTTCACCTCCCACCCCCAACTCCTCTTTCCATGCAGAGTCTTGTTTTCCTATTCCTATTCTGGGAAACATTTTAAGAGTAGTGGACCACCTTGCTATCAGAATTCCTCGTGTGTTGAAGGCTGGACCCCAGTCTAGAGACTTAGTCTCAGATATGGTTGCTGCTTTCTTGAACTAACTTTTTTTTTTTTTCTTTGCCCATTTGTATGTATACCCCTTACTAGGGCTTCCAAATAAAATAGAAGATGGCCAGTAATTAAGAATTTCAGTAATAGTGAATATATTTTTTAGTATAGGTATGTCTTATGTACTGTTTGTTATATAATTTCAAAATTTGGGATTTTTTGAAACTGAAATTTAACTGGAAAGCCTATATTTTCATTTACTAAATTTACCAATTCTACCCCTTTCTAAAAGTAGGATCTAGTTCTTCCCTTATCTTGCCTTCACTCTTTGTGTGTTTGTGCATGTGTGTGTGTCTGTGTGTGTGTGGCAGGATCTGAGTAGTTACCAGATTTTGGGTAATTACCAGAGTTTGTAAGTCTCTTTTTTACCCCTATAATTCATCTCTCTCTCTTTTTTATGTTACGTTATGGGAAACTTCTGAATTGTACTAAGCTGTGGGAAACAAAACAGATAAGAAAAATTCTCCTCTTTCCCTTTTTCCAGAAGAATAGTTTACTCAGAGTTTATGGCACTTTTTTGTAAGCTGAAATAAGTGGCTAAATACATATATTTTTCTGTTAAAAATGAAATCATTTTATTTTACCTGTGTCTCTAGCCTATAGCTAAATATTTTTTAACTTACTTTCTAAGACTTTTTTAATCAGAAAATCTAAACTATTTCACCCATAGCAATGCCTTCTGCTGTTATTGCGTTTTATATTAACTATGAATTTTTATTGTTTTCTTTCATTTGTTGAGGTTACTGAATCTTCTTTGAGTCTCTTCTTTATCTTTAGAGGGTTGGAGACATAAATATATTTTTAATCTTCCAATGGTTACCTAGTATTTAAATAACATGTATCTTCTTTTTCCATTGTAACCTCAATTTAATCACTGTGTACATCACATTCTCAAATAAGCCTTAGGACCTAAATATGACATCAGTTTTGTTCTCCCACATTGCCCTCCAATTGCCCTCCAATTGTCCAAATGGGGACTGTATGAATTGTAGGTCTAGATTCTTTTATCACTTAACTGATGAAATCAAGAAAAGTGTAAGTAAAACAAAGTTAGAGATGGGAATTATAAAAAAGACAGATGTCTGAAAACATTCTATTTTTAACTAAAAATATCTAAATGGACTCTCAATTGCCTAAGTTTGATATCAGAGTAAAGGAAGACTTTGATATAGGATGAAGGGTCTATTGATTACAATTTTATGTCTTCTTTCTGGCATAAACCAAACCTACAAGTAATTATCTTTAACTTCTAGTTCCACATTCTTTATAAAAAGCATGTACTTGAACTTGAGGAACAACCTGAATAAAGAATTGGTTTAGATTTTTATAATTATTGCTCTAATCATTTAAAGTTGTTTCTTCCACATTTAATTCAGCAGTAATAGTTTTTAATAATTCCTTTTTATCAGTTATTATAAAGAATTCAACTTAGGTGTGCCTGGGTGGCTCAGTCCATCAAGTGTCCAAATTTCTTGATTTTGGCTCAGTTCATAATCTCACAGTTTGTGGAATTGAACCCATCCTTGGACTCTGCACTGACAGCCCAGAGTCTGCTTGGGATTCTCTCTCTCCCTCTCTCTCTGTGCCCCCCCCCACATGCTTTCTCTTTCTATCAAAACAAATAAATAAAAATTAAAAAAAAAATTAAGCGTATTTTTTTTTCAGAGCAACACTCTTTTTTGTTTTTTATACTTATGTCCTTATATAGAATCCATCTGAAATGCATTTGTTGAGTAACGAGTGATGCATAGTTCCAATTTTAGACATTTTTCCAATATACTGGCAATTTTATTGAACACCTCTAAAGAGGATTGATGTCTTTTCATCTGTGACCTGTTGTATTCATCACATGACCAATTTTCACAGATATCTGATTTCTGGACTATAAGTATTCCATTAATCTATATATCTATTCCTGTGCCAATAACAGATTGCTTCAGTTATTTAATTGAAGCGTATTTTGAAGTGTGGAATTGAAAGTCACCATTTAAAAAAATTATATTATCGGGGCGCCTGGGTGGCGCAGTCGGTTAAGCGTCCGACTTCAGCCAGGTCACGATCTCGCGGTCCATGAGTTCGAGCCCCGCGTCAGGCTCTGGGCTGATGGCTCAGAGCCTGGAGCCTGTTTCCGATTCTGTGTCTCCCTCTCTCTCTGCCCCTCCCCCGTTCATGCTCTGTCTCTCTCTGTCGCAAAAATAAATAAACGTTGAAAAAAAAATTAAAAAAAAATTATATTATCTATTTTTGCACGGTTTCTCTTCCAGAACAATTTTAGAATTAGTGTGCCAATGCTAAGGATAAAATGCTAATATAGTGCAGACTTATATTTAATTTATGGAATTATATAAAAAGAATTGATATTTTTATAATAATGAATCTACTCCTTAAGGATAAGTATATTTCTACATACACTCTAATTCTCTTTTATGCCCTTGAGTAAAGTGTTAGTTTTCTTTCCAGTCCTTCTTACACATATGCTTTTTGCAAGATATTTTATAGATTCTGTTCTATTATAAGTCAGAGGTTTTTTTTTTCACAGTATTTATTAGTTGGCTTTATATGTTGATTTATCTGGTGGAATCCTGTTCTAATACCTAATGGTTTTCAGTTGATTATTTTGGATTTTCTAACAGAAAATTATTTTCTTTAAAAATAATCATTGTTTTATCTATTGCTTTCCAATATGTTTTCTTCCTTTTGTTTTCTTATCTTACTGTGATGTATAGGATATGAGGCACACTGTTGAATAGTAGCAATGATGGTAGACATCCTTCTCTTTTTCTTGCTTTTATCGGAAATGCCTCAAATGATTAATCATTGGATGTATTCGCTCTGTATTCATGGTTTATACTTTTCCTGTTCTATTGTATTAAGAATTTAAAAAAAATTATAAATAAGTTTCAAATTTATCAGACGGGTTTTCTGTATCTGTTAGGTGCATCACAGTGAGAAGATCATTTTTTCTTGAATATGTTAATGTATTAATTACATTGATAGATTTTCCTAATTTAAAAATATCTTTACATTTTTATGTAGACTTGTCCCCGTAGTAGATTTAATTTGCAAGTTTTCCATAATTTGGCTATTGTTGAGAGTGCTGCTATGAACATTGGGGTACAAGTGCCCCTATGCATCAGTACTCCTGTGTCCCTTGGATAAATTCCTAGCAGTGCTATTGCTGGGTCATAGGGTAGGTCTATTTTTAATTTTCTGAGGAACCTCCACACTGCTTTCCAGAGCGGCTGCATCAATTTGCATTCCCACCAACAGTGCAAGAGGGTTCCCGTTTCTCCACATCCTCTCCAGCATCTATAGTCTCCTGATTTGTTCATTTTGGCCACTCTGACTGGCGTGAGGTGATATCTGAGTGTGGTTTTGATTTGTATTTCCCTGATAAGAAGCGACTGTGAGCATCTTTTCATGTGCCTGTTGGCCATCCGGATGTCTTCTTTAGAGAAGTGTCTA